ATTCCTTTTTAAATCTTAATTAGGTTCTTCGAAAAAGGTTGCAAACAAATCTATTATATATATATATATATATATATATAAAATAACAGAGTAAAAGTAGCCCCACAGTTTATCAGCTTATCACGTCTATCTGCTTATTTCTGTCTAGTAGAATACTGACACATGTTTATGTTGTGCCATGCTCGCATGGTTATTTCGGGTTGAAAAAAAATTAGAAGAGTATATTCCTACTTTGCTTTGATAACTCTAAAAATACATACAAACATTCTCAATCTAAAATCCAAAATTCAAAATAAGTTCAAATATTCAAGCGATAAATTTGAATAGAAACTATTCATCATGGGTTTGAAAGTTACGATATTTTGAGTTTTTTTAATTTTTTAAATTAAAATAATAATATGTAGAAAGTTAAGATATCCGTTACATACATTAGAATAAAATATGTTAGTATGCAGTACGATAAGTTCTCACCCACACAACGCACGAGTTCTCGACTGGTTATTTAAGGGAAAAAACAAAGAAAGAAATAGTGCCAACCATGACCAGCACTGAGGAATGATTATAAATTTGAAATGTTTCAGGTGATAAATTCGTTTTTTTTAAAAATAAGTGAAATTTATAACATTATTTTTACTTTTTCTAATGTCGACCCTTAGGATCTATTCTTTTTAACATGTGAATATCGAAAAGTAAATCTTACTCTCTTAATAAGGTCCTAAGAATTTTCACAATTTCATAGTCTAAACTCTAGAGAAATTCTTGTGAAATTCAGTATGAATCCATGGGGAAAAAATTGGGTTATATCATGAATGAAATTCTTTTTGGCAAATATATAATGAAAGAAATATACATGCCATTTTATTAACCCTTGACCATGTGATTAAAAAACTTTTTATTAATAAATAATTAAAATTTGGATTGAGAGTGGGCCTCGAGTGCTTGGGAGTGCTAAAAGAAATTATAATCCAAATTTAATATTCATGAATTGTAAATAAATAATTAAAATAATAAATTGTTACTTTGGCTATTCAGAAAAGGGAGAATTACGATTTTTTTTTTTTGGGACCCCCGGGGGGGGGGGAAGGTTTCTATGCCACTCTATACCACTTACTAAACGAGCCATTTGATGCGACAATATTTAATGAACGTATGTATGGACATAACAATTGAAAAGTTAACAAGGATTTTTATGCTTCCTTTTTTTTTTTATAATGATTTTAGTTAATGTCTTTTATTTATTTATTTTGGCTATAATTCAGAGTATTTTTAAATCATTTTGGGCTTAAAATTCTGTCAGGTTAGGAGTCAATGTCTCTTATTTTTATTTGTGCAGAATTAGAAGCAGAAATAAAGAGAGTCGAGATATCCACATTTAGTGTTTGACTGTACTTCAAATCAGATTATTTTCAATAAGAGAATATTTATGCATAGTACGGGGAGGAAAAAAAAAAAGAAAGGAGGCGAATCGACGTGGCTATTCTGATGTTGTGTCATGATATCCAGAAACACTTGTCGTTTTGGATATATAATAAACTCATATTCCGTTTTGGTTCTTAAAGTTAAACCAATCCTCAACCTGGTCCCTTGCATTTCAACACTTCTGATTCCCTCCTCCTTGACCCTTCAACTACTAGCTCTTCAATTAGATCTTGAAACATGACAATTTTTTTTCTTCTGTGATGGGGCACATTTAAAACTTTAAAGGCCAACCACAATTCGCTACATCTATGGATCATTTTACATAATTGAGTACTCAATCCTCCTTAAAATGAGAACGAACATTAATAAGAAATCAACTTGAGATTTGGCACTTCCTAAGCTAAATATATCTAGCCAAAACAGAGCAGAAATCTCGTTCCTTTTCCAAGCAGGAGACCCAAAAAAAAAAAAAATCCTCTTGATACAAGGCACTAGACAATAACAATGAAACCAACACCAAAATTAAACACGCGAAACAAAAAGAAAAAAACTTTCTTCTTCCATAGCTCTTTTACAGATCTTGAACACTCAAGCCTGCGAGCATTTAGAGGAATACAAGTTACAGAGTAGCATCCAGCATGATATAGCACCGTAAGAAAACATAAACGCTGACATAAGGATTTTAAGCGTCACTGTGTAATTTCGCCTGTTGTGACAATGTGCTTAGGCACATGTGGCTTATGCCTTAAAATGTTACGTGTACTAGTCACACCCATTTGTACGGAGGATCTAATTTGCATGCATCAAGTAAGGACAGGGATCATTCATTTTTACTAACCTGGAGGAAGTGATTGCTTCAAACTTATCAGCCTTCTCCGGGTCAAACACAAAAAGCGTGTACAAGTACTTGGAGCATCGGACCTTGAAATTGACAACATCTCGGCTCCTCTTGATTTTCACTGGTCTTGCAAGCTTCCTACTTGCAGTGAGAAAGGAAATCCGTGATCTGATGGATCTGCTTAGGCTGCGTAGAATGCACAACGTTTTTACTTTTTTTTAATCTAAGAGAAATTTTAGTACGATGAGAATCGTCATAATTTGATATGTACAAGTAATGAATTAAAACACCTTTTTCTAGAGGGATAAAGTGTTTAAATATCCTGAAAATATACCCCAAGGAGCATCCAGTATGTAAAAGTTTTTATTTGCTCTTATATGCCCTGAAAGTTTTATTTTGTAACATTTCTTCCTTGAACCGTTATCGGTCGTTAAATTTGACCATTAGAGACACCAATCAAATAGCATAACTTAACTGTCAAACTTAACAGCTAATAACAGCCAAAATATTTTTGCTACAAAAATAAACTTCCAGAACATATAAAAAACAAGACAAAAAAAAAATTTCAGATGTTGGTATTCCCTTGTGTATACTTCCGACATATTTAAGCATCTTATCTCTTTTAAAAGCTAATCTCTAACTACATCTTGCATTGAGAGTTAAGACTAAATTTCCAGCTATCAACAAAATCATTAGACTTGCTAGCATATCATACAAAACAATTCAATATCATCAATTAACAAAATGAAAATTGTAGTGCACTCGTAAGTGTCAGCATTGATATATACAAAAGGACCTAAACTAGTAATCTGAGTGTCCAATCATTACGCAGTAGAAAATTGACGATCCAGGATTCCCCCCTGCTTTTAAGATCACTCCATGAAGGTGCGATAAGACATGCTACCTGTCAACTAAAAAAAAAGCACAAATAACTAAATAAATAAAACATATTGACGGCTGCATTTTTCCTACGGTCTCTTCATATCCTTGGTTTTTCATTTCTTTCTTTCTTTCTTTTTTTCGGGTTCTTAATAAACCAGATGATGGGCCTATTCCAAAACATTCTCTATAAACCTAAAATGAGAGGCCTTTGTCCTAGGAGATTATAATCGTAATTAGAAAAGACTAAAAATATTAAAGGCTGAGGGTAACAATATTACAGAGGATGAAAAGACAATGAACAAAGTCAGACGCAAAGCTAAAACCAGAACAAACTATACTATTATGCAATTAACTGTAAACATAGTACTGACTAACATATGACTGAACTTCTACATCAAGACTTCAAGAGAAATGCCTCTGAAATTATATTACAAGAAACCTGCTCAAGGTAATTGATGGGTATCTAAATAAGATGGGGAACACTATCCCAAAGGCTAACTGTTGAGGTGGGCGAATCAACCCACTTAAACAACCCATTGAGCATCTCATTCTACTCAATGTGGGACTGATCCCATACTATCAAGTCCCCGTCAATTGGTCCCTGTCAGAAAGCTGATGTCCCAGCGGCTGCACTCCACAACACTTCACTCAGCCTCCTATCGGTCAAAACCCTCCATGGGTAGCCCTCTCTATAAAACCATCAACAACTTGGCGCTGATACTAATTAATGGGTACCTAAGTGGGATAGGAAACCCTACCCCAAAAACTAGCTGTTAAAGTGAGAGAACCAACCCACTTAAATACTCTATTGAGCATCATATTCTACTCAATGTGAGACTTGGTATCCCATACTACCAAGTCTTCGTCAGTAACAAATCAAAAGAAATCACCCAAACTTCAGAACAAAAAGAGATTCAAGCATACCATAAGAGTTAAGCACATTAGAAAAGCAGCCGCTTTGAAACATAAGTCAGTGCTATTCTTCAAGGATGACCATTTTAATTCTTGCCTATGCAAAATTTCAACCATCAATTGATTCCCATATATGTAATATGAAGAAAATTCATGTACCAAGGAATGAGAGGGGGGGAGAGAGAGAGAGAGAGAGAACCAACCAATCATGGAAAATTTCTCTAGACCATTTGCCTTTCATTCTGCATGCACACTGCAGTTCCAAGGTGAGGGAGATAGAGATGAATTGGACTTTTGGATCCAAAAATAGAGAAGATAAAGATTCATTGCTTAACAGGAGTAGAGATTCCATTTCAACTTCCATTCTGATTGTATGAGTGTTAAATCATTAACATTCTGAGTTGCCATGGCCCATGGACTGAGTGCTCAGCTCAAATTCCATTCCCACGGAACATCTAAACAAGTGGATTGATCAAAGAATGAAATATTCTTGGTTGGATGGAGTTGTTATTAACTTATTGCTCATCAATATTTTGCCCTGATGGGACCTGGAAGATGTTTTATTAATGTTGGATAGGTTCTGGCATACAGCTTGCAGCTCGGTGACACAAGGAGCAAAATGAAGACAAAGTTACACCAGCAAATAGTAGAACTAGGTCTAAAACACTATCCTCCTTTGCCTCAAAAATAGTGTCAGGTCCTCTCCTGCACAAAACAGTGTCCACCTTCGCCTCAGTAGCATATAGCCCTAGAAACGGTCCAACTCAGCCCTTGCCACCGTGGCAACTTTAGTAGGTGCAACCTCAACTTCTTTAATTGACTCATCAGTCCCGCTAGCAGTTAATACACCCTTGTTTCTCCTTTTCCTAGAATAAACTGGGCCCATAAATGAATCAGGCTTATCAGGTCCCCACTTTGACTTCAATGTTAACTCTGGTTCCAATTCCATTTACTGTTCTGAGACATATATTGGATGGACTCTGCATTCTTTGATCAAGTGCTCATGGTTGACCCTCTCGCCATTGTCATCATCATAAGTAACAACATAGAATTCAAATGAGACCTTTGGGACATCCTCACGTTGTCCTAATTTTGATTTAACCCCTTCCACAATGTGTATACAGTATTGGGGGTCATACCACAGAAAAACGTGATCACAGTACAATTCTGTAATGGAATAACCACATGTACTTGATCCTTCAAGCTTTTCACCATCTTCAAAGCAGCATGAACATTTCAAGTAAGTTGGACATGTTTCATTTGAGGTGAACTGGGGAAGAACAGTGCAGAAAATGAAACCCAACATTTATCAACAGCTGGTGAAAGCTGCATAGACATGGAAGCCTCTCTTATTTGATTAGATCTGAACCCCTTTGGAACTCTGTTACTCGGATAACAAAAAACACTTGCTTCTAAATTGTCAAGAACTGCTCGCTTCAATGAGAGGTAGGCATTGTCCATTATATTGCAAAGTGAATGCTCATCCAATTTCAAACAATTCACAAACGAAAAGAAATATGACAAAATATCTTCTTGCTGTGGTGCAGATGTAGTTATAGTGAATACATTCTCTAGTGACGTGCAGTTAGTTGCATCTAGATGCATAACTGATGGTGGAAGTTGTGGTATAGATAGAAGCCTCCTGCAATTCCTTAGGTAAATTGCTTGAAGCAAAGAAAGATTTTTAATGCTAGCAGGTAAGCTATCAATACAACTTCCTTTCAGTCCCAAATACTTTAATGATGAATAAGTGCCAATAATATCAGGGACTTTAAAGAAGTCACTGCATCCAGCTATAAATAGCTCTTGTAAATCAAATAAGGCATCGAATAGGACATGAAGCTTTGGGCTTTGATTCATTTGTCTGCAATCAGAAAGATTAAGCTCTTCAAAAGATCTCAGGCAACATAACTCATTTATGGGAGGAATCTCTAGTCTTGAACCACCTAGTATGATCCTTCGTAGCTCACTGAGACTCCCAATGGATGAGTACAGTATTTTGGAATTTGAAGTTAACAAATCCAAATCTGATATTTCCTTTGATGACAATGAAAATTCCTTCACGCTAAAGCAGAAACTGACATCAAAGTTTCTAAGGGATCTAAAATTACCCTCACTGTGAAGAGTCTTTGAATATTTGGAGCGGACTAAATTCAAGGCAACAGTCATGGAAAGAGATAATATGTGTGGATCAACGTTACAGAAACTTTCGCAAAAACAAATACCCTCCCACTCTATTTCCTGTGCCTTTGAGAAATCAAGCAAGTCCATGGACTGTTTTGATCTGCCAAGGCTTATTCTCTTAGAATTCACATAATCCTGAAGCAATTAAACAAATGGGAAAAATTTTAGAATCTTCATAGAAGACGACTAATTAAAGATACAAATAAAGCTACCTGCACTAGTCTCCAAAGTTTCATAACATGACTGTTTGGCATAGAATGCTGAACGAGTTTCTCAGGATAAAAATTTAATGGTAAAGATTTGTAAGGGTATCCATTCCACTCTAGGCTCCCTGATTCATCAGAGAATGACTCAAAACTTGTTAGATGGTGCTTATTACAGGATCTCACATGCCAGGGAGAGTAGAATTTGACAACTCTGAGATTAGTCATATTTTTGAAGGTGTCAACATTCAATTGCACATCTTTAAAGAGAGAAGCATATAACACTATGCCTTTAATGGCACCAGTTCCCTGAAAAATAAAACAAATTCATAAGAAAAATAAATGATATGAATCTTGCTACACTTTGTACAAAAATCATTTGTAGAGAGAGGATAAGATGTCTTTCTTGTACCTTATTATTTTTTAACACATCATACACTTCCTCAAAGTCCTTCAACCGACTACGTCTTCCAGGATTTTCCTTGCATTCTTGCCTAACTATTTCCCAACCCATTTCTTGAATTCAGTCATGCATTTGTATTACCTTGTCATTTGAAATGGATATAAGAGCTCTATCTAGAAGTCCTTCTATTCTATAAGCAGCAAAAAGGTTATTGGCATCAAGTAGCCTTATGACATGATCTTTATCTTCTCCTTTGTAAAAGAAAGCAATGTCAAGAAATACATCCCTTAGCACATCATCTAATCCATCATAGCTCGTTTTCAACACATCTTGAATTTGAGGATCGGGGTACCCCTCAAGTTTTCTCAGTGTACTTTCCCATGTTCTTCTGTCTTTAGAACAAAGAGATGAACCCACAACTTTTAAAGCTAGAGGAAGGGCCTTGGCATAACCTACTGCCCTTTTTGAAAGTTCCTCATATCCCTTTTCAGGATGGCTTTTTTTGAAGGCATTTAAGCTGAAAAGCTTAAGGGATTCTTCAGGGCCCAATTCCTTGACTTCATGTATGGCATGAACTCCTCCAGCAGTTAGCACTTGCTTGTCTTTGCTTGTTACAATGAATCTACTACCAGGTCCCCAGTGAATTCCATCTGTAACCAAATACTGTAGTTGTTCTGAAAAACCCACATCATCAAGCACGACAAAAACTTTTCTTCGTCTAACAAGGCTTTTATGAACAAAAGAGGATTTTTCCTCTTGCAGTTCAGAAACAAGTTTCTCTCTTAAAGATTTCAGCCGATGCTTTTGCGATTCTTCTCTCACATTTTCTAAAAAGTAAGAGCCGTCAAAGTGGGAAGAGAATTTGTCAATTGCAACTTGTGCAATGGTTGATTTACCGATGCCACTCATGCCCCAAATTCCAAGGATTTGAACTTCCTCTGACTTCCTTTCCAAAAACGATCTAATACAATCAAGAAGTTGATCAATCCCAGCAAGGCCTTTTGATTCACTAGGAGAGATATTCAACCTTGACGAAACACCATTGACAATGTCATCTATGAGCTTAGAGTCATTACTAAATCAGAGAAGGAAAAAAGAATCAATCAGGACAAGAAGATGGAATAAATTAACTGATCAACAAGTGGAATACTGATATGCATACAATTCAGTGACTCCTAATCCAAATCGTTCGTTGGACTTAATAGTTAATAATTAAGGTAAATATTCTCATCAATAAAATGATGTCACATTTTTAATCTTCATTCATGATATCAACGGTACTGCTTTTGCATCGTTTGCATTCAATTTTGATGTGACCACCAGCAAAATTTTAACCCTTTTCTAGACATAATTACAATAGAACGGCGCAAGGCAATCTCACCCAAAAAAAAAAAACACTCAAGGTAAATGTAATATCCACCTGAGCACGGAATGGAACTTTTAAGATCCAGAATGAAACTGTTGCAATTCATATTAGGAAATTACCAGCTAAATATTCTGATGCAAAACATGCTCTAGCTCTACGAAACAAGAAGAAAAGTATTTCAACGTCTAAATTAGGTAGCCTGCTACAAGCACACAGATATATCAACTGCCAGAAATATTTTTCTTTTTTGGAGCTGATGTCAGAAATAAATGTTTAAATACTCCTCCGATCGTTATTATAAGACTCAATTTGACTTTTTATTTGGTCCTAATTATAAGACCCAATCCATTTTGTCTCTTATATTTATGCATTTTTTTCCAAGATAATCCTTCTAATAATGATAGTTTTAGCCAATATACTTAATTAGTAAGAATATTTTAGGAATGACAACACTTATTTATTATAAATAACCAACTTAACTTACTTCCTTAATCTCCTCAAATAAGTCAATTGGGTCTTATAATTAGGACCGGAGGAGTAGTATTTTTCAAATTTTTACCGATAATCGGACGTATTATAGCCAGATAGCTCAGCAGCATTCTTCAAGGCTGATCTCCAATTTTGAACCTTCAAGCCGTTTCCTTGAAACTTTAATTCATGTTTAGCAAATGCCCTCTTTTAAGCGCCTTGCTGGTGCTGTACATTCGAGGGATCAAAGTAGTAAAAAACGGGTAAAACAATTTGTTCCTTCATTTTCATGATTTCTTCAAGCTCATCCAAACACCAGCTTGAAGAGGCGTAGTTTTTTGAGAATATGACGATTGAGATTTGCGAGTTTTGAATTGCTCCCCGAAGCGAGGATGATATTTGTTCTCCGCTTTTCATTTTTTCATCTACATAAGCCATAATTTTCTCCCGACGTAGTTCCTTTACTAGATGACTCAGAAAACCTCGTCTAACATCCTTGCCGCTGAAACTGATGAACACATCGTATTTTTTTTCAGAATCATTGAAGAAAGAAGAAGAAGAAGCCATAGTTGGACAGGAAGAAATTCAAAACTTGAACAATGTGTTTCTTCTCCAGAAACTGAAGTTTTGAACTCCCATTCAAAGGTAATGCCGGAGTAAAACGAAGAAAACAAAGCAATAAATAGTTCTCAATATCTGAACCACCATTGCTACTAGAGATTGCCAGCAGGTTAGTTGGATTGCTACTGTGAGTCCGTGACTTGTTTATGTCGCAAAGGTGCGACGGGTCGAGGTCAAGAACAGTGCTGGAAAATGGACAGGTGGTTTTCCTTTTGTTTCTTTTTCAGCATGTCACCTAACAACAATAATTGAAACTTTATTGAATATAATTATAAGAAATTATAATCCAAAATTTTTTAACCAACTATAATTCAAATTTTATAGTTACTAATTGTAAATAAATAGTAAATAGTAAGTGGTTTTACTTTGTCTTCTCTTTAAAAGGGAAAAAAAAATCATTCCATACATCATTACTGTATAACTCAAACGTTGTAGTCAAATAATTTTTTGTTGAAATTATATTTATTTCAAAAACATCAATGATTATATTTGCAAGCTAAACTATTGACTTCAACTAGAAATTTGAAATATTTGCCAATGATTCGCGAATCCCTTGGCAGTTGGTACGTTATCCTTTCTAGGGACCCGTTTGGTTAAAGAGTCGATTGAAATGAAAATAAATGAAAAAGAATGGGGGAAAAAAAAATTCTGGCCACATGGGTGTTTGATTCACTGTAGAATTGAAAATGGGTTTAATAAAAAATTTATATTTGGTTGGATGACAAGAGGTTAAAAAATTGAGCTATTTCACCGTATTGCCCTTAATGAAAGAATATAATATTATTAAATAAAAATACCTTTTTTATAAAAAAAGGATATAAATAAAAAAATTCTTTTTAACCGTAAAATTATAATTTAAATAAACATCATGATTATTAAATACATATAAATCACCCAATATTAAATAATTAAAGAATAAATAAATAAAATTAAATAACAAAGTGTAAATAAAATATATTTAAAAAAAAGCAAAATACTCAATTTGAATATGAAACAAAAATATAGATATTACTCTTCTGGTCCTATTTATAAGTCACTTTCAGCATATTTCACACAGTCTAAAGAAAACATTAAACTTCATTAATTCCCATTTAAAATTCAACAACTTCTCAATTTGATCCCTATTTAATATGCATTATACTGCATATAAACAAAATCAATACAATAATAAATGAGGAGTAAAAGTATATATCTATACAAAAATTTTCTCTTAGTGCTCTATAAATAGAACTAAAAAATATCTTCTCTCTCTGCTCTATAAATAGAACTAGAAGAGTATATAAAAATCATACATTCTAATTTTGGTTCGTGAGATGATAAATTTTTTTTTTCAATTCCTTGTTTATATTTTTAAGTCGATCACATTTGTCTTTAAATCATAAGATGTAATATGATAAGGAGAGAACATATCTTTATTAATTTAAATACAAAGTAGACAAATGACATATCAATTAAAAGATTACTGAGACTAATTTCTAATTTAACATCCTAATTTTCATATATCTAATATTTAAACAAATTTTTATAGAATAAGTAGAGGTTAAATACACATATATGTAATTAAAATAATTCTGATTTTGTGTGTGTGTATGAGAAAATGAATAAAATAGCGATGTTAAGAAGTGCCACATTGATTAAATGATAGGAAGTAGATAAAATAGCAATGTTAAGAAGTCCCACATCAACTAAATGATGAGAAGAGGAAGCTCTAGGAGCCTATATATAGGTGGTAGTAGGGAAGAGTGAAAGATGAACCAAATAATTTTCGCACAAAACTGAGATAGTCTCAGTAAAGTGCTGTTTACGGTTCTGTAAACGGTTGGATCGGGCTGCAATTTGGTCAACTGATCCTAGACTTCAAACTTGTTAGTTTCAACGGTTAGATTAATAATTAGACTTCTATAGTAAGAATAAATTAACTCATATTGAGGTTATCCATCTAAATTCTTTGAAGATAGAACATAAGTTATAAATTGAGGGTTCTCTATCTAGGTTGTGAATTTGGTGCTTCAAATGATATAATTTAATAATTAAAGATAACATAAGTTAAGGGAGCCTAGGAATTGAATATAAATCATCATATATATGTTCTTACCCCAAACCTTAGAAAAAAAAAGCCTTTCGAGCTAGAATTTTGAGTAACAGCTGGATGTAGTAGAGGGAGTGTTAAAGGTTAGAAATTTGTGAGTAGTTTACTTTAATACTGTAGAAATAATGTTTTAATTTCAATTGTAGATATAAATCCTATTGTGGCATTTTCAAGTAAGGGCCTTGTTTGTGCTTGATTGTTAGCTAGGAGACCAAGTAACTAAATTTCTATCTGTTACATGCATTGGTATGAGGTTGGTGAGTAATTTTATAACCAAGTTTCGTATGCATATATTATGTTTTGTATGAATGGTCTTGTGGGATACTGTTTTGAAAAGGATTGAAATCGTTTGTATTGTTGGAAATTAATGATTATGACTATGAGATGTTATTCTGGAATTTGATTGATTATGCATATAAATGTGTTATTTTAAACCTGTGCATCTAGTTTGGGTGGGGAAAGGAGATGATTGGAGTTATTGAGATTTATATACTTACCACGTGGTATTGGCCTCCATACGAAGCTCTATGGTTGGCCACTATTATTGTCCCACTAGTTCTTTGAGGGACTGCGACACCCCACTAGTTCTTCCAGAGGGGACTCATGGTCCACCAAGTGCTCTGTGGTCTTTGGCCGGTTCATATCACTCGAGTGGTGAGCTTGTCAAAGTAGCCAGTCAAATGGAAAGAACTTAGCCTATGGGTCCAGTCTGCGGAAATAAGGAGGATATAAAGATGAATTTGGGCTCATGGATTTCATATGACATGGTATCTTCATTGATGTTTATATCTTTTGAATAAATGAAAAGTATGTTATCTCTTTTGAAATCATCAATTGCATGAGATTGGCAGATATATTTGACCTATATGGTTATTGTGAGTTCAACTTTAGATAAGTGTCTATTGACTATTATTAACTCTGTGTATCCCACCTGACACCTCGCTAGCCCATGCTAGTGTGTGTGATAGGTAGGATTTAGTTACTGAGACGTTGTCTCATCCCTATTGTTTAACATTTTTCAGGTGAAAGCTTTAAAGGAGGGACGTCAAGGAAGGCTCGGGAGGAGTAAAGCTACATTAGCAACTTGTAGCATCTCCTCAATTTATGAGCTATGTTGTATCCTGTATATTGCCACCTTAGGATAAATTGGTTTTAATTGATTCATGCATTACTATTTCTTATGTCCTTTGAGTGTACTATTGTGGTATGTGTGTTAGTAAGTGGCCGGAGGCCTAGGATCGTATATTCGCATGTGATTTGTTTATGAATTTATTATAAAGTATGAATTAAGATTTAATTTTTAATATTTTGATTTATGAGCTATATTATATGTTGTTTTGTAACCAGGTTAGATAGATTGATCCTTTCTTATATAGTTTGTATTTAAATGAGTTAAGAAAAGTTCTTTTATCCGTGATAGGATGTATGATTGGGTGCTGCTCTTTTCTATCATAGATAACAATATTATATAATTAGTTAGTGTAGATGATTGTGATATAATTTGAGTTCGTATTTAGCATGCTTTGGTTATAAAAAGTTATTTCTTAAAGTTACTATAAAAAAATTAGATTTATCTGTTTATTTAGGAAGGTTCTTTCATCTAACGTAACAGGACCCATTCAAAAACTCTTTTTATTTTAAATTCAAGTCCAGTAAAATTAAAGCTTTAATATTATGACAAGAAAGAAGTAGGCAAACTCAAATTTGATGCAGTAATTTCAATTTCAAATTCAAATTCAAATTTACTCAAGAAAAATTTAAATTTTCTTTCATAGCATTCGAATTTGTTCAAGTATATTTCATGTTGTTTAAGCATATTCTAACTTCCAGACAAAATTTCAATTTACCTACATGGTACTTAAACCCTTAATTATACCCTGTTTTCAATGCACAAAACAAAGTAAGTTTCAGGTTGCTTATGCATGACACCCCCCCCCCCAAAAATCTTTGGGTCTGGTTCTAGCAAATAATAACCAAATTAAATTAATAATCAATTCTAGCAATTCATATTGTGGAATATAAAAATACAGTTCTCGCCATACTCTTGTTGATTTCATCTTGCCATATTCTTGTGACTACTTATCTTGCCGTACTCTTGCATTCCATGCCACACGTAATGGCCTCTCACAATACAAGGATACTGGATGGTTGCAATGCTTTTGAACTCTTAACTCCATCATCTACAAAATTTTTACCAATTCGTCTTGAATTTTCAAGTCGATTCAAATACCAAACTCAAATTAATTCTAACCTCATGAGTTTTTAAATGCTATAATAGGAGTCAAATGATGTTAAGTTCAGGAATGATACTTGTTGTCCCGAAAGTCCATGCTTGCAGAAGAGTCTTCACCCTCACTAAATTTTTCCCCACAATACTCTGTCTACAGATTTCATGAGGGTCCAATCTTATCAAGGGCGAATGGGTCATTGGCTATTTTACACGGGCAACTGAAAATTAATTCCCACCACTTTGCTGCTCTTTAAAGAAAAATCATGATCCCATCTTATTTCCTCGCCAACCTCTTCTTTCAACCAAGCGATCACCGCCTCTGAAAAATTTTAATTTTCCATTTCCTTCACTAGAATTTCCTTGAACCAAATGGCCCTATTCTAATGCTGCGTCAATGCTAACTAGAAACACTGGTCTTTTCTCATATTTTTTTTAAAAAACAAACACTGGCCTTTTTTTTTCCCCTCTTTTAGCCAACGGAAACACTGGTCTTTTTAGATACTAGTATAAAAAAATCAAATACCATTTTGGTTCATCAAAGTTAAACCAATGGTTCATCACTTCATTACATTTCAACACCCTTCTAATTCAGGCGTCCCCACTCTTTAGCTAGTAGCTCTTCAAATG